TGGAGCCGTCAGAGGAGTCAATAACGATATTCATCACCCCGTCGGACCCGGAGGCGGCCACCTGCAAGGTTCAGTCCATGGAACGCAATGCCTAGCACGTCAAGGCAAGGAAGAAGGCGGAGGATGCGGCGGCGGCCAGTCAACGAGGAGCTCCTAAGACAAAGCACAAGGGCAGGACGGTGTCGCCCGGTCAGTCGTAGACCTGGCCCTCTCAGTTGAAGGCGCCCTACTACTATGCCACCCAGCAGCTCGGACCACCCGATAGGCAGCAGTCCGCATCCTCCTCCACTTTTGGCTATCGAGTGTTTTTCACCTTTGAACTCAACGCCGACTACGTCTTCACAGAGTCACAAGCGCTTGTCAGGTCACGGATGCGGATTGCGAAGCACTCGTCCATCGTGTCTGGTCACTGTTTGCCAAAATGTCTCAACCAAGCACGATGGCGTCAAATGAGCCTTCTTCCGGTTCTTTTGCTTCATTGCATCTGCATCACAACAACCTTATGGTGACACACAACAAATGTTCTTCGTCTATCTGCACAGTTCCGCCTCTCGAGGTGGCATGTTCTTGCGGTTTTTAATGCCTTGATGCTATGGATATTCAACAAATCATTCAATTTGTGCCATGGTTGTCATCTGTCGACTGTTGCGATGGAGGAGCAACAAAGTTTAAGGTTTCGGCTTTGGCAATGGAACTGTGGAACTTTAGTTCTTTTTTCTATTTCTTCAAACAACTGTCCACGATTGTATCCATATCGTATCATAAACACTTGATAGATAACACACATGATTTTAAGTACAGTAAAAGAATCTTTTGTAAGTTCACTTTCTTTTGAAGAGAGAGGGGCCTTTTTTTAGGGGTTGTTCTTTTGAGGACTCTAAGAGAAGAATTTGTTTTAAGATGTGGCCCACTCCGGCCCAAGAGGGCAGCACTAGCATTCCTGCACACCGGTAAAAGTATCATTTGGCGAATCAGGTTGGTTAGGTGGACAGTGGTATCCCCAACCCATCAGGATTCAAATCCTGGTGCTCGCATTATTCCTGGATTTATTTCAGGATTTCCGGCGATGCGCTTTCAGTGGGAGGAGACGTTCCCGTCGACGACGAGGCGCCTACGGTGACTTCGTAAATCTCAAGATGATATGCCGGCTCAGTCTCTCGGAGGTGCTCATAGGGGTAGGGTGTGCGTGTATGCGTTCATAGGGGTGAGGGTATGCGCGTGTATATGAACGCTTGTGTATGTACTGATGCTCAAAAAAAAGTATCATTCACACCAACATAATAAATGCAACAAGAAAAACAAGGCAATGTTTATTATTGATAGCATACAATGATGATGGAGTATGAGGAACAACACTCTTGGTTGGTATGAGAGTTTTAGAAATAATCACACTAGTGATATCAGGAGAAAACTCGCATGTCGCTTCCACTTCCATTATTCATTGATCCTTTAGTACCTCT